ATGAAAAAGTGCTTCCGGTAAGGTCACCGGAAGCACTTTTTCATCAAAAAAAGATGGCGGCACCCAGCTAATGCCGGTACCGGGCCGCGGCATAAAAAAGGTTGGGGATACCGGGCCGCGGCGTAAAAAAGGTTGGGGATCACTGATCTAGGTGCTCTTTAGCAAACTCTGGAACAAGTATCAATTTTCTTTTAGAAACCCACTATTATCATGAATCCTATTTTGTCCATTTTTATCTATGCTACGTTCATGTTTCTCACATCTTCATGCTTTTCTTGGGGGTGGTATACCGAATATTGACTTCATCAAAACTGAAAAAGGCTTGCAAATCCTTAGATATTACCAGAAGTACCTTGTGATTTCATGCATAATGTTATGCTGCACTCAAGCTATTTTTATAGAAAAGCCATTCTTGGGGAAAGCCACTACTGCATCAAATCCTTGGTATTTCAGATCTGTTTCTAATTGTGGATTGCTGAAGCTGTAAAAATGATCTTGGAAATTTTTCCAGACATTGACTTTTTTTTTTTTAACAGAGGTCTTTGGTAATTTATTTTAAGTAGGCCATGGTATGCTTCTAGAATCTGTATCGCAAGAAATTCACTATGATGATGGGATTTAGATAACTCGTGGATGATCTAAATTAGCCTTGATAGTTTAATACAGTACTCAGTGGGTCCTAGTTTTCCATTTAATTGAATTGATTGGGCCAATGACCTTTTCATACTGGCACATTTTATGTTGTATAACATTGTTTATAAAATAAATGAAATCAATATCAAATTTTGATGGCTTTTTTTCACCCAAACTCCTTTTATATACATTATCAGTGGAACCTATTTTGCTATTCAGTGGTAAAAACATGGAAAAAAATAAGTAGCAATTAATGTTTCACAGAAATATTAAAGGGTAAATTCTCTCTCCAACACAATAATATGCCTCTGCATTTTCCAGTTATAACATCTGCAGCCCATGGAGGGCTCAAGAATAATAAAATGTGCCCCTTAGCTGAAAAAAACCTCTCATCTTTGTAATTGGAAAGATTGCTTTTGAGGGTGATGTTAGCAAATTTCTAAATCTTTATTTAGATTTCTACAAATTAGAGGAATAGAAGGAAACCAGATCTTCCCATTCACACTTATTTAAAGAGAGAACCACAAATACTCACCCCATCAGTAAAGAAACTTCTTAACATACGTAGGCTAGGCACACGACTTGGCAACCTCCTGCAGACATAGCACATGTATGGTTAGCGTAAACAATACAAAGTAAAAAAAGAGAACTAGCTAGCTGTGCTCATTGAATAGGATCCTTTCACTGGGAATCCTTCATTTTTTAGTGTATGAAGTTTTAGTCAATTCAGCAAGACATACCTGATGAAACAGACACTAGTTCTTATAACTAATACTATAAGTATTAACACTATCCAAATGAATTCCAAATCTGCATGTGGAAACCATAGACAATCATTTGTCTTAGAGAAAATTTTCAGTGTTAACAATTTCCTGTATATCATATATACATAGATGTGTGAAGGATTATGAGGACTGTTTAATTAGCATATTTTGTTAAAATAATGGATTTAACTCAATATCAAAATATCTTAATATTGTCACGTGTTCATTTTTCACTTATTATTTAGAGACCCACACAACTCTAAGATTATTTTTGTTATAAAAATCAACGGCTGGGAGCAGACAATAGCTACCTCAGAGTTTGAAGTGTCTAACAGAAAAATGCATTGCTTATAATCATAGCTTCAGCTCTGCTTAAGAGGTTTTGCAATTTTTTAAAAAGTGCTCTAAAAACTCATCTGCCGGGAGACAAAGCATATGTAAACTTCAAAGGAAGCAAAACTGTTCCAAGTCCTTCTGCAGAATTAGCGTGCCTTCCATTTTATATAGCTGCTCTTCATCAATGCCAGAAAGAATGTACAAAGTTCTAGACCCACCTTAAAAGTTTTCCCTCATCCCGAAATGTGTTCAGACCATCATCACATGACTTGGAGCGTTCTGTGGTTATGGCTAAGAGGTAGGAAGATCGACGGCTGGCTTTGATATTGCCTGTGACATGTACGAAGACAAATGTTGGCAAGAAAGCAAAGACAAAACAGCACAGAAGGGCCAAAAAGGGTCATCTTATTCAAGAACCTGGATCCACAGAGAAAATGTACTAAAATAGGTGGGAACATTTTACAGAGAGAACGATCTCTTTCTGTGTTCAAACACAGCCACCTCAGATAATTCTGAGTATGAAGAACTCTCATCCCCCCTCCCTCCAGTTATCCAGTAACCTCCTCTAACTTGTATATCCTACCTAAGTCGATTTCCCTTGCTTCTACAGGGCAATCAACAGGCAATATAATAAATTACACTGGCTGAAAACAATTTTTCAGTCAAAAACACAATTTACTATTTGGCTATATCTGTTCAGTTGTTACAAAAAGGGATAACCATGAAAGAATTACTCATAAACATGACACTGTAAAAACTGGAAGGCTCAGCCTAACCTGCTTGGAAGTAAATAAGAGATGCATATTTTAAAGCACTAAACACTAATTTAGAACCCCAAGGAAATGCCTATCATTTTTTGGCAAGAGTGAACTGAATCCTCTCCCATTTGTATATCTCACAGCAGAGTGTCTAAAGTGGTTGCCAGAAATTGGTGTAAAGCAATATTATCCTCATGTTTTCCATAAGTAATCATGCTTATGGAGAAAGCAGTAGGTGTGCCCTTACAGACAACATTAAGATCAAGGATCTGAAATCTGAAAATAGACTGCCCACAAACTATTATAATAAATAAATCACTCAGGAAGTCTATCAAAGATGAAGAGTCAGATTTTGCCTCTTTTCAGTGTGGTTCTGATTATTCAGTGTGGTTCTGATTATTCCATTTATCAGCAAGAACTCTAAGAAATCCATTTCCATCCCTTCAGCACCTCTTGATCTAAGTTTTTTATCAGAACTTGAAATACTTCAAAGTAGCTTTTTGTTCTACAGTAGTCTGATATGTTACAGAGGGAAGTTAAATGGATGATTTTCATAAGAAATGCAAATATCTTGTCCTTCTTCCCTACACTTCCAAGTCTTTCACTGGTAATCCTTCCTTTTGTACCTTTATGTACATCTATTACTGAATGTAGGCCACAATATATAATTTTATGTCAGTTCTTAGTACACAACTCGCATCTTATTCCTGCTCTCATAAACAAGAGGATGTGAAGAAACTGACCTATATGGATTCTAAATCAAATGTATTCAAAAATATATGTATAAATGCATTCTACATTTATATATATTAAGTATTCATGCCAGCATAATGATGTTAAAATTTAGCAGGCAAGCATCTAGGAAGAGAGAGAATATGATTCTTCCTTAAATTTCTGATAACTGTGAGGCAGTTCTTGGGATTAAACAACCAAATTTAACTTGAGAGCCTCTGTATATTTATAGCCCTAAGAATACACTTTGGAAATATAAAAAAATTAATATGACCTACTATCAGAGTGATCTACCTTTTTATTCTCCATAAGTGTGTACGTACACATGTGCATGAATGCTCACACATGTACCCACCCACATTCATTTATTGAATAATTCAGAGTTGATGTAGCTCTTAATTTCATTTTACAACCCCTTGTAATGCTCTCATAGCACACAATTTAAGAATGACTAGCTTAGATATATAAGGCACAATTTAAAAACAACTAGTTCATAAGTCTAAAGCTTCAGGCTGATGATTTTCTGAATTTCCTTCCCCATCCAACTGCCTCTCCTTATGATTCAGTTTCAGTGGAATTTGTTGTAAACAGGCTGCCATCTTTTTTTTTCCTTTTTACATAGCAAATCGTTTCAAGGAGAAAATCTTATGCAAAATCTTCTAGAATACTTCTAGAACACTATATAATAAATCTGCGTTTTCCTAATTTGACTAAAATTGCAACTCTAACAATTATAAGTAAAATTTATCATAATGGTCCAGAATGTCCCACACAAAAAATAGAGGTACTAAGTTTACTTATTGAATCCTTGCCGTAGCATTCATTGACAAAAGGTTTTTTTTTGAAAATGTGTATACTCCGAGACTGAGTTCCCAGCTTGTCAGATGTTGCTTTTAATTTAAGCAACAACCTGGTAACTACAAGCAGTGAAATAATGCATATAGGTGAATGAGAGAAAGATGATGAGAAGGGACTGGATCTCTCTAGGAACTAGAATAATTTTGTTACATAATTTTGAGAGTTTTGCCATTCTTTTGGTTTTTTCACTATTGATACTCTGAGCTAAAGGTAGCACTATCAGACTGAGCTGAAGAAATCTGGATATGTAATAGTTGGCAGCAATGCTATACAAAAATCTATTTGCTATCATCTTGTAGTTTTCTGGATGTTTGCAAGCCACTTTGCAATCCAAATTTGAATAGCTCAAGTTCAAGAGAGGCAATGTTGGCTTAGTACTTACTGCAATCCTGGGAATAATGGCGATTCATGGCAAAGGTGAAGGTAGGTGAAGAAGGGCTAGCAGAGAGCACCGGTGCAGAATTCATGGCACTGGAAACAACAGACGAAGCAGGGATGTGCTTTGCCTTCAGATCAATGCTGGGGCTTGTCGGTTCATCTGAAACAAAACAACCATAAAATGATGAATTATATACAAATGCATTTTATATATTTACTATATTGCATATTTTATATGTGTTCTAAGACAATTTCTCTTCACCCAATGTGGCCCAGGCAAGCCAACAGGTTAGACATGCCTGCTTTAGATGGTTTTCTCCTATCTAAAATTCTAACAATCTCCAGAGAATGAGGCAAGATTTCCACAGCTACTCCGTACCTGAGGTGTTAATATATAATTGAGAAACATCAATATAGTCATGATACTTCATTCCAAATCTCTGGTTGAAGTCTTCCAATCATGTCATTCATAATGGGTTACATCTTACAGAGTAAGAGATGGGGAGGAAAGACTAGCTCCTTCAGCACTCACACAAGAAAGTTGTCCCCCAGTTCCCAAGGTACTCAAAGTACAGCAAGGAAGAATTCAGAATGCCCTCATCAGGGAAAGACTTTCCCAAATTTCCACAAAAACATGGAATCATTTCTAAATGGCCCATAGCTGCAGATGTATAGAAAAAGATGACTAACAGATGAAACAAGGATATGTGCAACCTTGAAAAAGAGATGGTTGTGGCATGATAAATCAGAGGTCAAGGTAGAGAAGAAAATAATATACAGCTTATCCAAATTCTACCCTGCTCATTATATCAAGCAAAGTGACCCTTATATCAGTTTCACTATCACTCTTTTTATAAAAATAAGATTCCCTTCCCTTATTCTCTGTATAGAGGGAGAATACATCATCTTTCATAGGATATACACTGTACATATACAGTATTTATTTAGGGGGAAAGCTATTGTGCTGATTGTTTGAAAAAGTGAATGCAAATTCTCCAATTTCACTTCACCACTTCAAAACTGCCTCCATGAATCACTTATAGACATGTGCCTAAAATGTAAACAAGATTGGGAAAAATGAAAGAATGCCTTTTTGAATTCCTTTTTTCCAACAATAGGAGCTGTCAATATTTTTTACATAGGAGTACATAGGAGCTGTCAATATTTTTTTTATGTTATGTGTTGTGCCTTTGTATATTTCTCCTTTTCTCTTGTGTTTCATTTGTGTGTGTGTGTGTGTGTGTGTGTGTGTGTGTGTGTGTGTGTGTGTGAGAGAGAGAGAGAGAGAGAGAGAGAGAGAGAGAGAGAGAGAACTGGAAAGCACAGGGCAGGCTGCATATGCACAACTCTTAGTCACATAATCAGGAGCAAGATTTAAAATGGACACATTCCAAACTGCTGAATCTAGGCCATTTTTAACCCATTTTTTTCTTCTGCCAATTTTTCTGTCCATCCCAAATTTTCTTTCTGTTTTCAGTGAGTTATTGTAATGATGGACAGCCCTGAGCCCCTCTACACAATTTCTTTCCAACAATTCATTACTTTGGAAAATATAACAGTAGCAAAGAAACCCTTATTGCACCACCAATGTTTAATTCCTCCTTGCAAGTATAAAAGTACAAGCTGCGTTAAGAACCATATATATTGTTCATAAATATATCAAAGATCAAAACCTATTCCAATCCACAGGGAAGCATCCCACTTCATTAGATGATCATTCAGATAATCTTGTTACTCTCCTTGTTTAACCCAGTTCAATAATCTTAGTTAAAACTTTACAATAAAGCCTGATCTAGCAGAAATCAGGGAAGGAATGTCAACAATTGGTGAGGCCGATTTTCATTTATCCCCATGACTCCATGGCTCATGACCTGGATGTGATGTTTATGGATGCAAGGGCAAAGAATACTGCCTTTCTGGTATCTCTTTCAGCTCTGCTCTTTTATATCCATCTATTACTGAATCTGCTATTTGCAATAAAGTTCTGTTTTGCAAACTGATAAACTACTAGCATCTTAATCTATGCAACTTAAAAACAGGGCTGCAATTAAAGTTTGAAACTGGCAGATTAGAAGAGAAAAATGCCCTTCTTGATAATTTCCTAAAAATTACTTATATATATATATTATTATAAGTTTTAAAAAGAAGATAAAAACTAATAAAAACTAATACAAAATAAAGAAAAGAAAAATTGGGAGAAAGAAAAAGATAAAGTACAAAAGATTTTTAAAAAATAGAAATAAAAGGCTCCTATGGAAGCCTATATGGAATATGACTGGGGTTGCAAAATTGCCTCTTACTCTATGGATACAAAAAAGGTTTTTTTTTAATGTTTTCTATTCATCAAAACTACAAATTAAAAAAAAGATTTTTTTCTATTTTGTGCAAAAAGTTTCTAAAGAGTTTCCAGTCAGCTACAAATGTAAATGTTACCTTTTCTCTAATCAAAAAAATCAGTTTAGCCATCCCTGCAAAAGCTCCATTACCATCATAATCTCAGCGCTATGCTAAAAAAGTGAAGTTCCATAACTTTTTTTTCCATCTATTTATCTATTAGTTAGCCAAAAATCTCAACAGAAAAGCCTCTGGTTTCAATTGCACATTGCAGGCAATCCCTGGATTAACAGTCAGTTCTGTTCCTAAATCTAAATTAGTACATGTATTTGCATCCAAAATTTTTCACACATCCACCATATATGATAAAATATCCCTTGATAATTTCCTGAAAATTACTAGCAAAATTAATATTACCTTTGTGCATCTGGCCAGCTCTCACAAATGTAAATCACACCGATATCTCAGAAGGACATAAATACTGCACAGCTATAGTATCCCCTCCACTCAATAATTTTTTTTTATTGTAGCTTTAGTAATATTTGGACCTCACTGTAAAAAAATTATGAAGTTGACAGAGGAATTTTCTAACAAAATTCTATTCTGGAAAAACCACATATGAGAATCCATTTCTAAAACCCCATTTAAACATTCATATGATGTTTAAATTGTACATATACATTGATGATGAAAAATAATCTCAAGTAGAAGGGAAAAAACACATTTGACATAAGGAAATAGCATAAATAAAGGAAAGGGACAATTTATTTGGGTCCAAAGATAGCTACATAAATAGCTTCTACTTCTGTTTCTTTCCAAGTGATCTTGAAATAGTGCACCAGGCATAAAGACATAATCAATTTTACACTAGTCAACAACATATTGTTTTGTAAACCTACCAATAAATGGGATGAATGCAAGTGAATCCTCTGGTGTAGCCAAAGGGGCCACACCCCTCTTGTTTTCTTTATTGGCTGCCGGCGCCGGTGCAGGTGGATCACAAATGTCTGTTTCCTTTAGATCACTGGGGAAGACAAAATTCATCTGTCTTGCAGGAGGAGGCATTTTACGTCCAGTTGGGGGCTTTTGTCGAAGAACCACCTCTTCTTTTCTCTCCTCAGCATCAGACTGAAATGGTTCTAAAGCTTGAGATGAAGAAATCTGCTCAAAAGATTTCACATCATTCTCCTGTTTGCCTGATCTTTGGTCCATTAGGATCTCTGGGCTGCTGGCCAGGAAAGGGTCTGGACAAGTAGAAGGAGCATTTGAAAGCACAGCAGTAGGCAAAGACTTCTCAACGTAAGATGGTGTTGAGTGACTCAACTGCCTTTGAGAAATGTTAAATGTTGGAAGGTCACCAAAAGTAGCATCGCGGAAAGAAAGAGCATGGAGCAAGCCAGTCCGACGTTGGAATGAAGGGCTGTAGCTTCGGTAGCCAATATAACCAGAGTCATCAATGCTCTGGAGGTTGGGCTGAGAAGGGTGTTTTTGCACATGTACAGAGGGAGGATCTCTGGAAGAGGCAGAAGGAATACAAGTACTTGGATGATTAGGCTGGGCTCGGTTAATTTGCCCATGCTGGTAAAACCTGTCTGATGGCAATATGCACCTCCCATAATTAGGAGAAACCAAGTCAGCCTGTTCAAGAGCTTCCATAGATTGCCCATATTTCACCAGATAGTTATCTGATCTTGCACGGTAACTCCAGTTATCATGAGCTGAAGATTGGATTAAAGTTTCTTGGGAAGCACTATGAGACCATCCCCGGGAGGATGAAATGTCTCCAAGATGGTCTTGCGATACACTTCGGTAACGAGGTGACATAGCACTGCATCGCTCCTCTGAAGAGCTTCGCCGTGGTACTTGACTTGAGATCCAGTTGGACAAGGCCTGTTGGCATTCTAGACGGCTAACAGATTTGGGTCCAGCTCGAATGCATTCCCGTGAGGGCCTGCCCTCATGATGAGCATCCTTCAATCCACCATGTGGGTGATGATCAGGAAGATGTTTGGGGGGTCCATAGCAGCCGTGGTTGGGCATAGAGTAAGTAGAAGGAATGTAAGGCGAGGGAGAGGCTACAGAACCTGGACAACTGCTATTGGGGTACTGGGAGAAAGAACCAGAAGCTGGGATATGCCTTGGAATAGGTGCCCGTTGAGTCATTCCATACTGGACTTCCTCTGTACAGTGGGTAGGACTGGAATGGTTGCTAGCGAAATTTTGTTTGGATTCAGTCCAGGCACTTAGATGAGTTTTGTGAACTGCAGTGCTATTCAAAGGAGAAGATGGATCTGAGGACCCTGAATGGTAGGACTGCCTATTATCCACCTGTTGTCCCTGGTAAATTTCAGCTGTTGAAACATCCCGTCTTGACTGAAATGGGTAATTTTTACGAGGATAGCATATAGGTGGTGGTTCAGGAATGCTCTGTGCCCCTCCAGAGTATGGTTCATTGCCCTTTAAGTATGCATCTTGAGAATATGCCTGGAGAAAGGAACAATGAAAAAATGAATGAGGACTGGTCTAAAAGAGTAAGTTACTGAGTCAAATATTTATGTATACAGGCAAATTATATGGAGACTATATTTTAAATTACTTAAATTCTATGACTTTTTATTGATAATATTTCTGTGAATTATCAATTATAAAAATCGGGCTTTGAATGGATCATTTAAGCCAGGGGTCTTCAAATTTGACAGCTTTAAGACTTGTGGACTTCAACTCCCAGAATTCCTCCTCCAGTCATGTTAGCTCGGGAATCCTGAGAGTTGAAGTCCACAAGTCTTAAACTTGCCAAGTTTGAAGACCCTTGAATTAGGCCATCAAGTTTAGATTCTTGATCAGAGCAGGAAGCCAAGTTACAGCTTCCAGATAGGCAACTTCTAGCCCCAGCTGCACATATATATAATGAAAGGAAAACTACCTCTCTGGAAATTGATTTCACACTTGAACTGTTCTTACTATAAATACATTGTTTGTAATATTCAGTGGAATCTGTCTTCCTTAAATTGTAAGCTAAATGATACCCCCACCCCACCCCCCAAAAAATTGTATAGTTTCAATTCTGGTGATATTCAAGAGATCTTTAAAAATATAGTTATTCTCCCAAAAGTTCAGGTAGGATGATTGTGGAGCACCATCAGTGATTTGTTAAGTTCCTTTTTTCTCTATTTTACACTGTAAGTTGCCCATTCTGGACTTGAGAGACCTTTAGATCCAATCAGGAAAACAGTCTGACATCCAACACTGAAATCAGATTTTTATCCATGTAACATTTCAAGTATCTGAAGAGTGCTATCACATTCCAACCTTCAAATAAATATTTTCTCAAAACTAAACATATTAAGTTTCTTCATGGGCTTAGTTTCTAGTTCTTGAAAAATATTCAGTTTCTCAGAATCCCTTATAAATCCAGAACTGGACATAACGCATGGCGCAAAGATCTGACAAAAACAAAAACAAGTGGAATACTTAACTCCCCATAATTTGACACTTATTCTTCAGTTAATGAAATCTAATATTTGCATGTGCCTCTTTTGCAACTATATCATAGTGCTGATTAATTTAAAGTTTACGATTGACCACTATTCAATTTTTTTCCACAAGTACCATTAACAGGCTAATTATGCCCCATGCTGTATTTTTCAATTTGATTTCAATTTTTTGTTTCCTATATGAGCAATTTTATACTTTTAAATTTCATAATCATTTTCAGCTTGTTTTCCAACTTACAAGATCAGAATTGCAATTCTGACTTCTAATGTATTAGCTTTCCTACCCAATTCTGAATATTTTTTTCAGTTGGATAACTATTCCGCCCCCCTTCACTCAAATATTTAATGAAAATATGGAAGAACAGAAGACCTAGGACTGAGTCTTATAATACTCCATTTGATTAAAAAATATTATTGTGCTTTCTTTAAGTCGGATTTTCAAGCTGTCTACACATCCACTTGCCATTCCATCCAACCCACAATTAACCAGCTTGCTAATCAGGATGTCATGTTTCAGATGTGGCTCTGTATTCTAGCATTACACATTGCAGTTCAGCAGTGGAATACTTTAAGGCCAATTCTAGCAGTCAGAAATGTTTTCCTTAGCAATCCAGACGCCAAGTCAGCAACAGTAAAGGAGCCAGGAATTGCAGTATGAAGGAAAACTACAACTATAGTGTTTAGAGGACAGATGCCTTAAGTGATCATATTTTATTCAAGAGTTGTCCCTTTAGCAAAACTAGCTGCTAATACTAGGGATCTAAGGCAAACCATAGACTTATTTTTGGAAGTTAAAAATTGAAGCACTTTAAAATTTTATTATTCTCTGTCTGTGCCTCCTTCTGTAAAGAGCATACATCCCACACATGCTGAACTTAATATCTGAGGATCTTTCTTTCTCTTCCACTAGACCTTCACATTTGTTAGCATCACTATTATTCAGCTTCTTGATCCTCTTTCCAATTGACCCTATTATTTGGAATTGGATCTTCCATAAGACACTCCAGTTTCTAGAGAATAAGATGCTCCTGCACATTGTCATAATCACAAATGTTTTCCTTACTACATACTTATAAATTCACCAGATGTTTACACAGCAGTTGAATCAATTTAGATAGTAAAAGAGTCGTTGAACTTTTAGTTCATATTGTTTTAGAACACTTTGTCAACTTCTGGTTTTTGGCATGTTTGCATGTATGTCAAATTGATCAACAAAACAGACCAAAGGTACAATTGTGGGTGCAAAAGCATCCAGTAAGATTTTTGAAAAAGAATAGCGGTTGTTCCATTACCTATACTTCTCTTTACTGGCTTTCTGAGAGGGCAAAAACTTTATTGTGATTATAGAACTAAGGAAGAACTATGACATTTTAAAATTATATTATTAAATTGATTTGCCACCCACCTCACAGTGTGAGGCAATCAAGATATGTTGCTTGCCTGCCAGTTGTCTGGCAAACAAGGTGGCAATAAATCCAAGGAATTGGAAATATTAAAGGGGCTGGCCACCTAGGGAGACTTCTCCAAAGTTCTCCAAAACAAGGCCCCAATACTCTGAATAGTAAATCTCTTAACTTCTATTAACATCAGAGATCTATCAGGAGAGAATGTTGATGGTTGGTATCTTTTTCTCAGAAATAATTCCCATTAAATTTAGTGTTGCATGCTCCACCAAAGTAAACATAGCACAGCCGCCTTATATTTATTTTTCATCTAATGTAAACATACCATTCTACAAACCTGTTTTAAAGTCTTAAAGTCAACTCCCTCTCTCCTTCCTCAACCATCAGATTTCCTATAGTTGGAGTTTAGGAAAGTTGAAAATAACATTGGAGATTTGCCAGAGAGCTGCTAGTATTTAAAATCCTTACAGAAATGGATGCTATGTATATATTTTGAATTATGACAATTAAGTATCCGGATAAGGTTATGTCTTTCATTAAAGAGAAAGGAAGAAAACTAAGAAATGTATAAATCTCTGAAGTTCAGAATGAAAAACAGGCTGATTCATCTCACATCTAACATTCTGCAAGTTGGCATACTAGGAAATCCTACGTGTACAAAGAAAACTAAGTTGCATCATAGTGAAAAATATCTGGTAGGGCTTGCTGAGAGATGGCCTGGAAGAATACCGGTGTGGCTTCTAACCCACCTCACACATGCCTCTTTTTCCTAAACTACCACCTAATCATGAAAAGATCTTTGTTAGATAATAATAAAGTCTGAATACCATTCTGGGAATCTAGAAATTCTCAACTGCTCCTGGCCTAGCCATTCTATCACACGCTGGAAACTTGCCCTTGATAGATGAAACCACATTTCAGGCCAGGGATTTGTCAAGTTCCAAAAAAGGAGTTATGTTTAAACCAGACCTTGGCTTAAAGGAGCCATAAGAATGAAAAGAGAAAAGAGACGAAAAGGAAAAAAGGAAAGGCTGGTTACTATGCTATATGGTATTTGTTTATTTCTGTCTAGCAGCAGCTCCTGTGAAGTTAATTAAATACTCAACTCCTCTTGCTTAATCCTGACGCAGGATAACAAGACCATTAAAATACATACGCACTCTATTTTACATCCTGCTCAGAAGTAGCTAGGCTTCTCCTTAAATCTAAATTCTGCCTTTCTGTCTGCCAGGAAAAAGTCACCCTAGTTCTGGTCAGGATCTGGTCCAATATATATAGCACAATGTTTATTCTTATGAGGATGAAATGCTTAGAATTTAAAATCATTACCTTTGTCTTCTCTGTTGTATTTCTAGTCTTGTATTTTTGTTGCGCATTCTCGATCTCCCTTCTTCAAAAAGAGAAATGTTCCCTTCCCCTGGAAATCTCTAATAACCAAGCTAATATTTCTTCTCTTTCTCAATCTTCCTTTTAAGTGTTGCTTTCAGGAAAAAAAATGACATAAACTAGGACGCCTCAATGTGGGAGGGGTGAAGGGAGCCAAGAATGTCTCTTCACGCATCCTGTCAAGAGTAACTCTGTAACCCCAGGCTCTGTCATTGGCTGGCTCAGCCGGCTTCCGCACCACAGGAATGCCGACACACCCCTGTGAGGCACCAGGACAGGGGGAAACCCACACAAAGGTTCCTTTGCTTTGAGATGTGTAAAAACAAAAGCAACTTGGGGTAACAGTGCCTTGCACAGACCTAGAGTTACTGCATCTCTGGCTGCCAATGCTTAATTGTAGGCAGAGTAGTGCTTGATACAATTCCAAAATGCCTTTGTTTGAATTTGTTGGGAGACTATTATAACAGAAGTTGTTGGGAGACTATTATAACAGAAGTTCCTGCAATTGTGATAGACAGACAGACAGATAGACGATTGATAGGTAGGTAGGTAGGTAGGTAAATAGATAGATAGATAGATAGATAGATAGATAGATAGATAGATAGATAGATAGATAGATAGATAGACAGACAGACAGACAGACAGACAGACAGACAGACAGACAGACAGACAGATAGATAGAATTGAAGACAAAAAGAACAAAGTAACAAAGAGGTGAAAAAGCCAAAAAAATAGCAAAAAAAGAAAAAGAATATAGTCTTTCCCTGCTGTTTTTTGCAATTAATACAACATAAGCCACCTGCCTCAGGCTCTGAACCAGGAATGGGTAATCTGTCACCCAATACTTCTCAGCTCCAACTCCCAGAAGCCATGGACAATTGGTCCAATTGTAAGAGATGTTGATACTTCTATGGCAGCAACATCTGAAGCAAGTCAGCTTTACTAAACTAAGTGATATAAGCAAGCAGAGGGCTATAGTTTCATCCCCTGATTGTAATACCACCTCATTTAGAATTCTAGCTATGAAGAATCCAAAGCTTGTACATCCTTTTAAGCAGGGGTAGGATTCTACAAGTTCGCACCTATTCGCTAGAACCGGTTGTTAACATTCTAAGCAGTTTGGAGAACCGATGGTTAGAAGAAATTACTGGCCTAATCCTGTAAGGAAGGCAGGAAGGAAACATTCTGGTGTTGATTACAGAAACTGCCTCTCCGTTAACCCTTATTACATTCTTGGCAGGACTAGACTTCCTGTCTCAGGAACCTCTCTGGAGTTTTCTTTTCTTTCCCTCTTTTGCTGGTACTTTGCTTGTGTGGAGTAACCATTCAAGGTTACAATGGCACTGAAAAAAGTGACTTATAACCAATTTTCACACTTACGACTATTGCAGTATCCCCACAGTCACGAGAGGCCAGGCAAGGAGATGCGTGCCTCGATTTGAGTGATGTTGAGTTGGCCACACCCAGCCAGTCACATTACCACCAAGCCACGCCCACCAACTAAGCCACGCCCACAGAACCGGTTGTTTAAAAAATGAATCCCACCCCTGCTTTTAAGGCCCCAATAAAAATAGGTTTTGTTGTTTGCTCAATTTTTTTTAAACCCATCATGGACTAATAAATACAGTGTTTTCTTTGTTTGCTCTTATACTCTGTGTATCTAATCAACCTGGGATATTCATTCCAATTTGTAAATCACCTTGGTTGTCTTAATGTTATTTATAACCCTGAAAGAATGCGTCTTTTGGCATTCTCAGTTTGTTGAAGAGGAAATACAAGAGTTCTTTCTTTGGACTCCCAAGGAGCCATGAGCAAGTTATTTGTCACTGAGTCTTAGTGTATAACATGAATAACACTAGTTTCCTCTGCAAAACCATGTTGTAAGCACAAAATCAATCCAGAAGGAGATATTATGAATATGGAAAATGCCTTGGCCACACAGTATATAATTTCTAGAATGAACTACCTAGAAATCTCAATTCTTATTTTGGAAAAAATAAAGCAAATTTCTAGTCCTTTATCTATGAAGATAAACTTCATAGAAAAAAGATTCTATTTTCTTACTACTTGTAATACAAAATATTATCTACAATAAACCTTAGCTGAAATTAAAAATTATAGGCAATTTTACAAAATGCATATATTTTAAAACACAAACAGCATCTGGTGAGAATGGTAGACCAGCTTCATTTTAAAACTCACGTGGAAAACCTTGAACATTGGAAAGCAATAATGACAACAAGGGGGATTCTTCACAAACACTAAGGACACTGTTATTTCGATGCTAAATGATGTACTCTTGTTCAGAACCCCTCCCTAAAACAGAACATTAATGATAATATTGGGGTTGAGCCTGCCTATATTATTTGTACTATATATTGTTCTGGCTGCGGCAATCTAATTGTTGACCCAACTATATGTCAAATTCAGAACACAGAATTAGTGGAAAATTATAAACAAGGCTCTTTAAGCCCTGCTTCTTTACTCTAGGCTTTCATCTGCCATTCTTTGTCCATAAATGCCTCATCCTGAAGGTTTTCTTCCATTCAAATCAACAGACACCGGAGTGTTAGTGCGTCAGTGTATGTTTGGGTATGTACATACATGAGTATGTGTAGGTGCACTTAAATCCTCAAAAGATACTTGGTGAAAGTATCAAGCCCAACTTGTTGTCCAGTCAACAGCTGGGAGAATATCTATTGGCCCTGGCAAACAACTTACCAATTGCAGAATATCCTCATCTTTTGGCATAATGGAGAGTTCCAAAGCATCTTCACTGCAGAAGAGAGAAGGCATTTTAAAAAAGATTAATGATGAATAGGAATTTTCAACCACATTGCACCGTAACAAAGCTCAAGCAGGGTTGTGTTCAAAGGCAGACATTAGATACCTAGATTCCAAACTGGCAATTGGTTGTTACAACACATTTGTGTTCTGTTTGATGGACTCTCACTAGCATTCCTAACTTGGTGTTCTCCAAATGTGTGGGATTATGTTCTCCTCATTATCTTTAGCATTCTGGCCATCCTGGTAGAAAAAATAGGGATTGTAATCTGATAAATCCAGCAGAGCTCAGTTTAGAAAGATTGGATTATCTTTAAAAATCCCATGCACAAACACACAAAATTGCTAAATTAATAGTCTAGAATTATCTAAGGGCACTATTGTTCTCTACATACACTGACAGTCACATTTCTTTTATCCAAACCAATACCAGTATGTCATGGGTATGAAACATGATATAGTGTTATCCACAACTGAGCTCTCGGGACTATTATAATAATAATAAAAACTATGTAGTAATTTCATGGGATTATTGCTGCAAAGCATTTGTCTTACCTTTATGATTCTCAATAAAGGTAATTGGCTTTCTTGGCTAAACATGAGATCCATACTATATATTATCAGAAAATATTAAAGAAAAAAATCTACAAGAATGGGAGAAGCTATGGTGATCAGCAGTTGCTGAACTACCATTCCTACGCCATAGGCCAAGCTGGGTACGGCACTGCTTGGAGCTGCAGTTGAGCTATATCTGGAGAAATATAGACTCCTCACTTCTGTTTTAAAATGAATTCCATTTAATGAAAACAGACTTTGAATGGAGAAAGGATGGAGAGAAAGAAATGCCTATTTTTTTTCCTGTGCATAATATTTTTCCATAAAACCAATATATATGATACTAATATGGCTCTTCTATTTGAGTTTCAGATCATTTTAATTACAGGGGTCAGCAATCTTTCCAGAAATAAATACCTTCAGTATTACCGTCAGTCAATTTTGATTAAGTAATTAATGTAAATTATTTTTAATACATCAAGAATCTCATGAGAACATAGGATTCTCCGTAAAGATGACTTTCTCGTAAGATCTCACTCTCCTCCATTCTTTCAGCAAACTAACTGCATTACAACATTTTTGTGGTCTATCTGAACCCAATATTAATTTTTAATACAAATGGCATAAAAGACTAATTAAAACATCAGAGGTTAAATGTACCAGGAGAATCACAATGTGATATTATACATTTTATTGATTAGTCAATTGATCATATCAAATAAGAGTGTATTACAATAAAGTCAGAAAAAATTACAGTGAACTAGGTTAAAATAGCTAGTGAGATAAAATAGAATAAAATCTAATAGGTAAGATAAAAGTGAAGATAAAATATAAGATAAAAATAGTATAAGGCAAAACAGCAGAGAACTTTATTAAGCCAATTCATTATGTAAAACTGATATGAAAATTCAAATAAGTAAAAAGAAAAGAAAATAATAATGCATAATCATCCCTACAATTAAATCAAATTAAGGTATTCTATTCTCTTTAATGTGGCCTTTGAAATGAAGATTACAATCTTATTTATGATGTGCAGGTCAGTTCCCTAAAATAAGCAAGACTTTTTTCCCAGGTGTCTCCCAATATTTTTTAGTTTTTAAATTAAAGGTCCAAATAAACAGCCCTTTCTCGAGAGTGAAATTTGCTGTCAACAAAAATGTGTCCAGTATGTTCAATGGGTGGTACTTCACAAATGCACAATCTTTCTTCAACTGGAACTCCCATGCCTTACCATAAAGTCCAGTCGAGTCGAGCTCTAGAAAAAGCACTTCAGAGATGTTGAGGCATGTAACTTTTTAAACATTTTTTTCTAAGCCTGATTTGTGTTGAGCTAGCCACTTCGAAAACTTGGCACATTTAAGTACTGCAATATTATCTTGGGCAGCCACATCAATAACTTTTGTATGCTTCCCTGCCTTTAGATCTGACTGGGCTGGGAACGAGATAGAGAATCCATATTGAGAGATGACATCTGAAAGTTGAGTGGCCCAAGTGCGAGTAATTGTTCTTGTGTAATTGTTATTTGAAACACAACTTGACTAGGTCTATGAATAAGATCTTCAGCCAGTAATTATACAGTAATTACTAAATGGCTTTGTACGGAGGTATGCCCAATTCTGCCTTATTGCTTGGGTTGAGGTAGACTTATACACCAAAATACTTTTCAGAAAAGTAGATTGTATCTGTTCCAGTAAGGACACATTTATATATCCCCACAGTTCTGCACCATATGGGATCATTAAGGCTATTTTAATACTATATACCCGTGATGGTGAACCTATGGCACGCATGCCAAAGGTGGCACGCAGAGCCCTCTCTCTGGGCACACACGCCGTCGCCCCAGTTCAGCTCTGCCGTGCATGCACGTTGCGCCTCTCACCAACCAGTTGATCTTTGGGTCTCTGCCACGCATTCATAAGGTTGCACAGGAATCGCATGTGCAGGAGGCGGGGTGCGCACACAGCAGTCATATACATATGCATGGGGCTCACATGTGGATGTATGCATGCACAGGTGGGGTGCATGCACAGGGGTCACAGGGGTTGCGCGCGCATGCATGGGGCAGGGTGTATGTGCAGGACGTGTGCCCACATTGGATTTTGGGGATGCACGTGCACGCTTTGGGCACTTGGTGCCAAAAGGTTAACTATCACTGCTATATACTGTTCTTTTGTAACTGGAATTAGAAAACCTGGGTAGCTTTTGTTGGTAAGCTGCCTTATGGCCCTGGGACAAGCTGTAGCCCTTAAAGAACTTATATTAAAATATGGGAGACAAGAACCTGTTTCTCTGAAAAGAAGTCCTAAGTTCATCGCATTCCCTGTCCAGCTCCAATTATATGTGGCGCTCCTATTTCCAAAAATGACCTTAGTTTTTGATTTATTGATGTTCAGATAGTTGAGTCCGCAGTACATATTAAACTGCACAGCAGTCTTCTATCCCCACCTGAGTGTGTGATATCAATCACATGTCATCTGCATAAAGCAGAATGTTTATATGTTTATTTTTAACTTTAGGCATATACATATCAGTAGAACAAAGGGACTTTAGGATGTTATTAAAAGGTTAAAAAGAATGGGAGCCATTCTTTGTCTGACTTCTTTGATGGTGCTAATTTTCCCTGTAGAAAACCATGCATTTCTGTGGGCATAAGGAAAATATGACAATCGCAGAGGCCTTATACTGGAATTTAACAGTGTAAGCAAAAAAAGGTCTTCTCTTTTCTGTGCCCTTCCATCCCAGTTCTTCCTTTCTCTTTGACTTTCTGTGCTGGGCCGACCCAGAAGTTAAAGCCAGGTATCAAGATTCATTCATCCCCAGCTGTTAACTAGATCTTTTATACTGCAATCAAACCAACATTGTACAGAAATTCAGAGAGATTACATAGTTTATTTTTCCATTCTTCTACATTCCATGTTAATATAGGAGCACCAGATAAAATAAATTGGCAGCTATGATTTCATATTGTTGTGTATATAAATCCAGCCTATACATCTGGCTGAGTGCTGAACCGTAATAATAACTTTAATAGAGAAGTATTTATTTCAGTATGCTTACTCAGAGGCACAATGCAAGATTATTTAGCCAATTTCACATTATAGGTATGTGAAATTTCAAGGACTTTTGTAATGGTCTCAAGATGTTTCATAATATAGAAATCAGTATTTACTAAAAAAAATGATTAAGTGCATGGAGAGCAAGGATTTTACAATATCTATTACAATATTTAAATTAATTTAAGTTAGCTTTTGTCCTGCCTCTATATATTTCTCAAAGGTCAAATGTGGCTCTCAGTCTGCTTTAGGTGTTTTCAAAACCTCCAGATTGTTGTGGTCTATCCACACATCGAAGGGGGATTTACTGCCTTCTAGAACAGGGGTCGCCAACCTTTTGGACCTCAGGGACCATCAAACTCATAATTTTAGATCCCAGGGACCACTAACCGGTTCTGTGGGCATGGCCTAATTTGTGGGTGTGGCTTGGTGGTCATGTGACTGGTGGACATGGCTTGTCATGTAAATATTATAAATATTTATATAAATATTGATTTTTTTTATAAAAAAGAGCAACTTTTACCCCAAATCAGGCAAAGCAGGCAGATTGAGTTGCTCACAGAATCACAGATTCATTCAGAGATCTATCTATCTGCCATTGGCTAGCTCAGTCTGCCACATAAAATTTGCTTGCAAGCAAACTCATAAAATTTGCTAGCAAGCAAACACACAAAATTAACTCACAACACACCATGCATGTAAATATTGATTTTTTTTATAAAAAAAGAGCAACTTTTACCCAAAATCAGGCAAAGCAGGCAGATTGAGTTGCTCACAGAATCATTCCGTGATCTATCTACCTGCCATCGGCTAGCTCAGTCTCTCAAATTTGCTTTCCGTGAGTCTGCCCTGAATTTGCTTGCAAGCAAACCTTCAGTCCTAAGGGAGGTTCGGCTGTGCTTAAAAGCAGAACCAAAGATCTAAAGACTAGTTAGAAAGCAAGAAATCCAACCATTTCCTGCTTCCTAGCTAATCTAAATCTCCCAGCACAGCAGAACAGATGATGGTCGGAAAAAGGAAAAATAGCAATTTAGCAGGCAAGTTTACCGGGTAAGGAGTGAGTGGGTGGGGAGGGTTCCTGTGGGCCATGTGGGTGGCGCAGCCTTGTGTTTCTGCGCAGCCTGGATTAATTGCTTTGTGGGGGTGCTCTGGGGGGGTGAGATTTCTCTGAAGCCCACCAAAATTTTCTCACGGCCCACCGCGACCGCTGTTCTAGAAAGTGTCTCCAGATGAGGAGAGTTGACTGCACATAAGCTTCCTCTTTCTAGGATGCCCACCCTCACTCAGAATTGGAAAGTTTTCTATAGGTGTAAGCTGCAAGGTCCCTTGGTTGCTTTTCAGGAAAAGACAGCCCTGACTGCCACATCGCGAGCATTGGCTTGAA